CCCGCACAGCCCCCGCTCTCCCCCCAGCGCCTGCCCGGGAGCGCTCCCCTTCCTTCTCCCTTCTCCACACCTCAGCCGCCCCTCTGTCCGAGCTGCCGGCTCCTCTGAACCTGCTGCTCCGCCTGTGGCCACCTCTTCACCTCCCGAGCCCGCTCCGGCAGCCTCTGCAGACCCTCCCACCGCCACCTCTCCTTCGGGTTTTCCTTCCACTGCTCTCTCTGCCTCTGCTTTGCTGTTTCCACCCCGAAGTGCTCCTGCTGCACCCCCCTCCTCCTGTGCTGCCGGCGTCTCCTCCACCTGCGACGGCCCTTTAGTGACAGGATCCCCCCAAACACCCCCCAGTGCCCCGAACCCAGGTGCCACTTGCAGTACAGGACCCTTTTCAGCCTCCAAGGACTTTTCCATCGTGTTCTCCTCTATCTGGAGAGTGCTCCCTCCCACCTCCCATGCCTGAGCACTCTCAAGTGCTGCTGCTCCTGCGACAGCTTTCCCCACCTCCATCCACTCTTCCCCTGATCCTTTCAGCTGGGAAAACTCACTTGGCTTTACAAACCCTTCCCCTCCAGGCATTGCTTCTCCTGTTTCCACATCCCCCAGTGCTTCCCAGAGAGCCCCAGGCTTCCCCATAGCCTCTTCCCCTTCAGAAATGTCTTCTGTAATAGCCTCTTCTCCTTCAGGGTTGACAGCTCTGGCCATCCCATCTGCTGCCACGTCAGCATCCTCCACAGCCTCCTCTTCCTCTGACACAGCACCCACCACAGTGTCCTTCCCTGCAGACCCTCCCTGCCCAAAGGACTCCCCTGCCCCACACCCTGGCTCACCCATCTCCTCCTCTGCTGGCAACCCTACTGCTCCTCTGAGGCCTTCATCTGCAGCCTCCTCCTCCTCCTCAGTGATCCCCACAGCCCCCTCCTGCCCCTGGGGCACGGCTCTGTCTGCCTCCCATCCTGGCAGTGCCCCAGCTGGCCCCTCTCCCCCAGCTGCTCCCAGTGCCACCTCTCTCTCCATCCCCTCCACCAGCACCTTCTGCTCCCCAGGTGACACCTCTGTGCCCAACTTCACCACCTCCCCTGCTCCCTTTCCGCTGGGATGTTCTTCTGCCACGGCGCCTTCCTCAGGTGCAGATTCCTCCAGCGCAGCCCCCGTGCCCGCCCGGGGCAGCGAATCCTCTGCCCGTGCAGCTTTTCCTTCGGCCTCTCCTCTGCCAGCATCTTCCTCAGCAGCACCGTCCTGCTCCAGGGCTCGTCCCTGCCCCGCCGCCTGCCCCGCTCGCACCGCTTGTCCTGCTGCCTCCTGCACATCCAGGCTTCCCCTCCCTTCTGCCAAGAAACCTCCAGCTGCTGCTGCTGGGGAATAATCAAACATTGGTTTACTCAGCACCATGCCAGTGCTCCATGCTTTACAGGGTTAGTGCTAAAGGTGCCATTTCTGCCCTGCAATGAGGGACATCAGCCTGGGCACCTGAAGAGACCTTGCTGTGCTGCTTCTCATCACACCCCTGAGCTCTGACTGTGTCCTTAGTACTGCTGTTCTGGCATCTGGCACAAAGAATTTAAGTAAAAAAGTTGATGCAAGGCCAGTCATGCCTGTCCTGCCTGCTCTGCTCCCTTCCCTGCCTGTGGGGAGCTCATGTGTGCCTGCAACATCTATACACTTAACAGGAACACTCAGAAAGTCAGAAATAGCTGACAAATTGCTCACGTGAAATATGTGCACAAAGGAGAAAGAGCATTCAGCTTCCTGTGGATTCTGTAATTACACCAGGGAATAATACACAGCTGATTCCTGCCCCTGGGAACCAACTTATTTCCCAAGGAGGCTGCACACTACCTGGAAGCACATGGAACCTCACTACATTCCTGCTTTCCACAGCTATTTTCCTGACTCACAGTTTTTTAATGGCCTGGATTCTTCTCCTAGAACCAGCCATTTAACTGCCAAGAAAGGATTCATTATACATGACTACAGATTCCAGCTAGTCACCACCTGATTTTTTACAAGTTAGGAAAGAAAAAAAGCACAAAGAGATTTTGATAGCCAAAGGAAAGGGAAAAGGAAAACACTTCTGTTAAAAGACTTCTGGTGAGTAATTTAATCCTTGTCGCTGCCTGACAGCCAATCTTACCTCCACTGGCATCACACTCTGTATTTGCTGCACTCTTTTCTTCCTCATTGGCACATGAATCACCAGGTTCAGGGTCAGAATTCACAGGATGATCATTTCCAGTTGTTTTTTCTATTTCCTCCTGTACTAGTTTGCAATCTTCAAAAACTATCACACAGAAAATAGGAAGCAAGAAAGAGAAACCATTAAAGAGCAGAAGGGGAGTAGAAGCCATCCAGCCATTTCGGCTTTAAAATGGTTTAAAATTCATTTTTGGACAAATCCTCACACTTGAAACACTAGCAGAGAAACACTGAGCCAGTGTTAGGTTCTGAGTGGATATTGAGCTCAGAGCAGCGCAGGTGTGCAGGGCTGTGCAGAGGGACTGTACTCACCACCTCCTTCCTCACACCAAGGAGACTCTTCCTTGCCGTCCTCCATCTTCAACACCCTGCTTTCCCAAGGCACTGGAGAGTGTTTCTTCTCCTCCTCATTCAGGTTACTATCTCCTGACCCAGGCTGTTTGAATTCCCCATTAACCTCAGGATTTTGATGCTGCATTGCCATTATGTTTTCATGAAAAATTCTAGTATCTTCCCTTGCTGTAAGATCTTCTGGTTTTGTCTTTTCTGCTTCATCTATTCCTTTCTCTTCCAATGCAGAAATCTCCTGATTTTCCTCCATTCTGAGCAGTTTCTTCTCCCCATTCCCATTTCCATAGTGTGCATGTGCTGCTCTATCAGATGTACTTTTGATATTCCATTCCTCTTTGCCATTCACATCATCTGTCACCATTTCAGCACGGGAGTCAGTCTCAGTGCTGCACTGAGTGCTCATGGATGAGAGAGAGTCTGCGGGTCTCCTCTCTGAAAACAGCAAACTTTAATTTAGTATTTGTGACTAAACCTCTGCATTCATTGGGAACTCACAAAGGGACACAATCCTATCCAACAGCATTCTCTGAATTACACCATCTGAGGATATTATGACAAAATTCCAGTAAGTGTAAATAGAAGAACATTTCCCAGCTGTATGAAGTATTAAAATTAAAGCCATTTAATGTGGAGGGTTTTTTCTGATAATGGAACTAAACCAGAGTAGTTCTATCAATCACACAGAAATACACCTCCAAATGCACCTCTAAATATGGCTCAGACAGGGTTTAGCACAGACTCTTCAGCTTCATTTGATAAAAGACTTCAACCATGGCAACAATCCCTCAGTGCCCTTCTGTTAACTCACTGAATGTTAGAAAGTTCTCCAAGACCATGTGTAAACCCTTCAGCTTGAAATGAAGATGAAGTTCACTGTCTCCTCTAAAAAAACATACACATGACCCTTGCTCTCACTGCCAGGGGGCTGCCTGCCCTTCAGTGCAGAATTAATGGCAGATAAAACAGCAGATTTTTACCATTTCAGGTTTCCCTATGCAGACTCAACATCCATACTGGACATAAACTGTAAAACATACATCAGGTCAGCTTCTCCAAGCCTTGTTATGAACAAAACTAACCTTGTTGATCATCTTCAGAGTCCTTGTTGTCAGAATATCCATCACTTTCATTTTTCTCACTGTCAGAGGCCTGCAGTGCCTTCTGGGATGAAGTTTCACTCTCTTTCCTATAATCTAAATTACGGTTTTTATCATCTGAGGATGACTCTGACATTCCATTCATTTCATCACCAGTCTGTCCCTCTTCATTAATTTCTTCATCTGCTTCAAAATCTTCATCATATTCTAAAATAGAAGAATTGTACTGTGAGACAGGAAACAGAATTCACAATTAAAAAAGTTCTTCTTAAGCAGATCGAAGTTAACATCATTAATCTCCTTTTGCCCTTGAATTTGCTCAGTCTTTTTAAAGCCATGAGAGCATCTAAGACCACAGACAGGAACTGTAAGAGCATATTATCATAAAAAAGCATTGTGTTCTTCATAGAGTAGCAAAAATGGAGCCAAACTGCAAGTATGATGAATACATTGTAGCAAAAAGAAACAAAATTACCAGCCATGGAAAGTACCAGAAGAATTGAGAGCTGGGCAAACTCAGAATGTAAGATAAATGTAAGAATCTCTTATTACAGGGAAAAAATTGGTTGTGATGAAAAAAAGAAATACAAGCAATTGAGAAAGCTGGAGAAGGGTGATATATTGTAGTGCAAAGTACGATAAATGTGTATTGGCATGGCTAAATAGCAAAGAAGTGTCTCACAAGCTCAATGAATTTAATGAACTCCAGCCAAAGGGCACTGCAGAGGCACTCTGTTATCACACTGCTCTAGCATGCTCCTCCAGGGCCCGGGGGAAAGCCCAGTACAAACACAGCCTGCACAGAATTACCACCCTTATTTCCACATTCTGGATTTCAGCTCTAGCCCGACAAGCTGTGACACCTGAGAGATCACAGAGAGAGCTGAGCTGCAAGGGATGCACAAGGATGCTCGGGTCCAGCTCCCAGCCCCTCCCAGCACTTTGCTTGGCTCTGCAGGTGAACACTCCCCCCCAGCAAAGCTGTGTGTGCACATCCCAGCAGCAGCACAGGGATGCTGGCAGTTCCCATCCGGAATGCCGACACTGCCCCGCTGCCGCGGGCTCCCCGCGCACGCAGGGAATGCACCTGCACCATGCAGGTGAGCTGCCCCTGCTGCCCCTCCAGCTGGCCCTCGTGGCCATCATTCCTCACTTCCCAGATCCTACAGCTGCCCTCCTTCCCTTCCATCAAGGCTTTTAGCATACTGAAGTGACAGAACACCAAGGACAGAAATGAAGAGCTCCTGATGCAGAACCAGTTGTGCAAACAAACAATTACCAAGACAATGAGAACTAAGGGAATAAGGAGATTTATTTTTCTGTATTAAAAATCAATTGAGATTCCAATTGCAGTGTTGGCAGTGAGGTCTCCTTAGGTAACTGTCAGAAGGGCAGTTCCTCCTGAAGGAAAAAGGCTTCATTAATCCCAAACACACATCCGGAGGGACTAACAAGTGTGAGATGAGCAGTAACACTGCCGAACTGTGAAAGCAAAAATAGGAATAGGAAGTAGGAATTAAAATCTCTCTATAAATGTGATTGCCTCTAAAGAAGACTATGATAAGGAGTAAGTAAAGGCAGAGACTGAGCTCGATGCCTCTTCCGTAGCTGAGTACACCTTCCACTATCCCAGGTTGCTCCAAGCCCCATTTAACTTGGACTTGAACACTTGCAGGGATGGGGGAGGCACAGCTGTTCTGGGGAACCTGTGTCATTACCTCACCATTCCTCCTTACTCACTTTCTTGGTACTTGCAAACACCTCATCCTGTTGCATGGCTGAAAGGAGCCCCTCTAGTTCTTGCCCAGGTACAGACATCCCACATTTCTCATGCCCCAGTCAAAGCTGGAGATCCACAATCCCATACTTTCTCCAGAATCCTCCTCTCCCATTTCTCATCCCCTGTTCATGTTTGGGAATACTATACCATTTATACTGGTGTCATCCTGACTATCTTCACTCTCCTGACAAGACTGGTTTTCCATTTCTTCTTCGCTGGACTCCTCTCCAGTCTGCAGTGTTTCTGCGAGAGTTCCCACGCTTGCTTCACGACCCCGTGTGCTGACTGACATTGACATTGAGTCTTTGCTTTTCTGCCCAATGCTGCTGACACATGGCTCACTGTGCACAGCACTTCCCCAGCAACACACATGCTTCCCATCCTGGTACCTAGTCTTCCTCTTGGGAGGGAATAGCTTTTTGTCCAGACCCATAGCAAGAATGCATCTGTAAAACAACACAAATTCAGAAGTATCACATTTTTCTTCCCTTGAACAATGGAAGGCAGCAGACATAGTAAGTTCAGCTTGTTGTTATTAGCAGTGAAACCAAGCACCCATCTGCCCCTGCACTGCCACAATGACTCACAAGGAGAAGCACCCTGAAATCTCTGAGAGCACCCCTACCACAGACAGCTCTTCCTTGAAGGACAGTAACACTGCCTACACTTACAGGCATACAAACAGAACCAAAATTATTACAAGTGCCTGTTAATTTAAAGCTGCATGAAGCATTGGCTGTGGAGACAGAACCACTGAGCAAGGCAGACAAGCTCTGACATGTTCTGGATCCAGATCCTGCTGTAACTCCCAGTAGTGATAACTGAGGGTTTGTGGGTGACACTGGGGCTTTCTGAACCTATCTGCTGGGTCCAGGAACTGTGGGGAAAGTAGAAGATTGAAAGTTAGTAATTCTCTGTCTCTGTTCTGTACCTACCTAAAAGAAACTCAAAAAGATGGAAAACAAAGCATTTTGAATGAGTTGTTGAGACTACTCCTCTTGTATAAAATGGAATATGTTCTCTCTCTTACAGCCAGGAGCTGTTCAGAAATGCTGGAGCTTGGCCAGCAGAAAGCTCTCAGAACAAGGCTTACAGCATGGCACAGAAACCACGGCAGCATCACCTTGCTGTGAGCCAAAGCCCTGACACACCAGGGAAAATCAACTGGGACTTTTACTGGACACCAGAGTGGGCATTCATTAATGGGAAAATCAGGTTAATAGAGATGGGTTTTAGACATCAGACAAGGTTGGCAGAAAAAGAGAAATATCACTGAGAGTAAGAGGGAAAAGGGGACAGAAAGAGGGAGTAACTTAGGAATGAATTCATCCAATTTTTGGATACTATATTAAATTCAGAAAATTCACTTCAAATCTTTCTAGAAATCACCATAAGGTGAGATTTGGGCATTTCCTACAATCTATAGCAAATACATCCATTCTGAATTCAGGTGCTTTTCACTCCTTTGAACATGCATTTGCATAAATCATGTTCACTGTTAGACCGGAGCAAAAACCATGGTACAATAAATAGGCATTTTTTTTCTTAGAATTCAGTCCTTATCTGAAGGAACAGAGCACACCTCTGTGGAGAGTCTCTTGTTCCAACTGCTTGCTGGTCTTCTAAAAATTATTTATTAAATGAACATAAAAGATTTTAAATTATCCACATGTCCCTAAGTTTACTTGCATGGCCTGAATTAACAATTGCAGAAAAGAAAGATCTTATGAAAATTAAAGCCTCTTGGCAGAATCACAGCTGTTGGTCACAGCACTGACTTTTGCCCAAGACCATTCTGTACAGATTTGGTTTCTGAACCATGGCAAATATTCAGTGCTGCCTTTTACGAAGTCAGGGGTATCACAACAGAATCTCACTTCAGAGTCAGAGCTGTTTAAAAATCAATTATCACAAAGAAAGGCCTGTGGAAAGCACAGGTAACTGAGCAGCATGCTCGGTATTTATTTCACAGGTGGCACACGTGCCCCACCCAGAGCCACTGCCCCGTGCTCCAACACCAGCGCAGCACGGGCGGGCTGAGGAGCCAGGGGGCTGCGCTGGCACCCCTGGATGTGACACCCTGACAGTGACCCCCACCCTGCACCTTCCGTGGAGCACTGACAAACACAGCTGTGTGGAGACAGAAAGTTAGAAACTCTCAAAACCAAGTCCTTGTGAGCAAAGTGCACTTTCTCCATACCTGTAGCAAGGAGGTGCTCCTGCCACGTGGAGAACCCTGAAGTAGCCGCTCCTGGCTCGCACCTGGGAACGGCTCTGATATCTGTACTCACAGCAAGAGCTCAGCCTGTCAACCTGCAGCCCGTTGAGATAACAGGTGAGGCTGAACGGGAATCCGAGGTGCCTCTTGGAGGTGAACTGGAAGGTATCTGCAGTCACAGGAAGAAAGGGTTCAAAGGAAAATATTACATTTCAGCCTCTTGCAGCTGCTGTATCTCAGCTGCATCACCACAGCACCCAGCCCTCCGTGGGCAGGCACTGGGGCTCCCAGGTCTGTTCAACAGTTGGTTAAACTCTCCACACACACAGCCCTGGCTCTTGCCAGCCCCAGAATCCTAAGGTGGAACAGCTAGGACAAGTGTCCCACTGTCAGTCTGGCCACTCACTGCTACAGCAGGACAGAGGCCAGAACCTCCCAGCCATTTCCTGTGTCCAGTTTCCCAGAACACAATTCATCTTTTACTGGTGTGATGGAATTGCACTCACATAAAAAGAGATCGGAACTGGGCTCCTACTATGTACTTTTCCTTCTGGAATAACAAGCAACATTCACTGATGTATTTTAGCAACACAGATAACCCCTTTCTAAGGACAGTTTTTTGCTACAACTGCTCTATTAACCAGATATCTCTACAGAAAATTCACCTAAGCCACAAGAATTTTGTTAAATCAATTCTCTAAATTCTTCTACCATCATTGCAAAAATAATTCTAACCTCACTTTCAATCATGGGACAGTAGATCCAGATTTAATGCAGAGACAGATGGTATAAACATCCCTGGATGCATAGATCTTGACAAAGCTGAGTTGAAATCATTCTGATGTCAGGGCAGTTTTACCAATAAGTGATGCTGTCAGAATTAATACAAACTCTCTGACTCCATCCTTACCTCCTTCAAACAGCTCGCCTTTGTAGACACAAATGTTTTCTGTTCCACAGTGTTGCTGAAAGATTTTGACTTCATCCATGTATTCACAGAGAGACACATTCCTGCTCTTTCCCAGGTAGATCATGGTGACCAAGGCATTGCTGCATAACGGGGACTTGGGGTACCCTCTAGTATTCTGCAGCAGAAAATGCACAGAAATGCCTTTAGCTTTGAGTTCCAACAGGAGGTGAAAACAAAGTTCAAATCTCTCACACTTGAGACTTTCAGGCTTTTATAACAAGCACTGAGCTGATTAAATTGGAGTGTTTGTCACATGCAGAGGGTCTGGGACATATTTACAACTCAAAACCCAAAGCACTGAATAGCCCCAAATTGCAGGGACCAGGTTTAATGACCCATATCATCCCTCCCAGTCCTGGGTTCCTACAACTTTATTTCCAGGAGTTAAAACTCACTGGAGACAGTGTAACTGATGCAGTGTTCATACACTCAAGGCATTTCACAAATCCCTGAGATTCTAGTGCCAGAGACTGAAGTGGAAGTGATTTCAATATCAGTTGCTATAGGTTGTTGCTCAGCACCTTTTTTCTCCCCAACTGATGAAAAACACCAAATGTTTTAGTTTACAGAGACATGCATAGCAATTATTTATGTTAATAGTTACACATTTTCCTTATGCAAACTAGGTTTGCACATCTTTCAGCATTCAGCAAACACACCAGTGAGGAATGTAACGCACCTGCACATGGACAGAGACTACTTACCTTGATTAAAATTTGCTCATTGAAGGCAGTGGTGGGATGAAACCGTCTGCACATGGGCAGCCCAATTCTGAGCGGAGGGACGCGCCTGTGCCCTCTGCGCAGGCGGGGCGGCGGCACCGGCACCACACAGGAGTGGATGAGCGGGAGCTGACACGGTGACACACCACTCATGTACTCCACTGAATTCAGAAGACTTAACTCACTCCTCTCCCCCTGGAAAAACATTTTAACCAAGTGACACAGCTTTTGCAAAAACAGCTGGGAGAATACGGAACTGGCCATGGTCTGACTCCTTGGTACACTGAGCAACATCCACCCTTCTGAAACAGCTCCTGAACTCGGGGCCTGAAATTCTGCTTATTAAAATACTTCTGTGCTAAACCCCTTTCTTTTAATTTGCAAGGCAACATTCATATTGCTTGAAAATGTCACCCTCAGAGATACAGACAGCACTGCACACCAAGCCCTGGCTGCACCGATGTCTCGTCTCAGACAGAACCCTGCAGAGCCCTGCAGCACCGCTGCTCCCTCGCAGCTGGAACACACATCCCCAGAGCAGCCAGCTGTCCAGCAGAAACAGCACTTGGCATCACTTCTACAAGGGGTGCTTCAAAATGCTGCTTCCTCATCTGAATAGAGATTTAGTCCTCTTGCAGAATGAAATGGACCACGGCCCTTAAGAGTAAGACATCACTAGAGAACAAGTTCTGGAAACGCTGCATTCTGTGGCTCTGGGTGCTGCATCATGTTCTCAGAACTTACAGCTGATTTAGCTGTTTTGTCAGTTGTGAGCACTAAATAAACCGTTAAATCACCTGTAATTTGAGTAGACACGAACAGGACCAACCAGAAAATTCTTGGAGAAAGGATCATGGCCATCGCAATCCAGAGCAAATACAGATCAGAGGGGAGCTATTGACAGTGCCTGCCAGACAGTGGTAGCAGATCACACTCCAATACCCTCTCACCCCATGGAATGCATATCACAAGACCAATTACATATGTTTTTCTAGAACAGAAGACAAGTCCAAATATCACTTGAAAGTAACTGTGAATATATCAAGACCATGTTTGACTCTCATTCTCCAAGCCCACTAGTGTGATTTAGAATAAGGAATTACCCAAAAAAAGAAATTTTTTTGCTACTTTGTAGCTGTAGATGAAGATGAAACCTTGTAGGACTTGCAAGTTAAAATATTCTGAAGCTCCTGGAGTTAACCAGGTGCTGCCTCTCTCTCTACATAAGAGAAAATCTACAGAGAGGGAGAAAATTTTGTAAGCAGAGATATTTTATACTATAAAAGATAAGTCACCACATTTTTCCTCACTGTGAAAACTGGGCATTAGATCAGTAAGACAGTGCCTTGAAAATAGAGGGAAAAATAAAAAGGACAGTTTAAATAAAAGTTTATGCCATTTGAAAGGAATGGTCCCTGTAGTATACAGTTCTGGGAACTACAGTACTTAAAAAATATTATGAAACTGTCCCTTAAAAAGATGTTATTTTTGGAATGAAGTACAGCCTCACCCCACGGGCAAACTGCTGCTCATGTGCATGGCACTTCTGTTTGGAAGCCTTTGGTACAGACCCTGCTGCAGTCCAGCCGTGAAGGGGCTGGAGGAGAGGGGGCTGCTGCGTATTTCCTGGACTCTGCAAAAGGAGAAAAAACAATGACAAAATCTCAGTGTACAGCTTCCAGTGCAGAGCAGCACCACAAAAAGAAAAATAAAAAAAATAGCACTGATGAAGATGTCTGGAAGCGATGAGTGATTTCAGATACCTACGGGACAAGGCATTTTCTAGTCTGCCACCAAAGAGCCAGACCCTTTTAGGCACCTCTAACTGACCATCCAGAGCAATTCTTGGCTATAAACACAAGGTTGGCTACAGTCTCTTCACCATGCAGCCTTGGAGCAAACACAATGAACTGACAGAAACTGTAACAGTGTGCTATGGACTTCAGCACATGGACCCAGAGAGAACGCACAACAAAAACGTATTCAACCTATTCTTGTTGAATATTCAGCTTTTTCTCTGACTGGTTTATTTCATGTTTTCCTTGTATACCCTTCAGAATACCAAGTGAAAAAATTAATGCCTAACAGCACTGTTTAACTGAGGTTCACTCACCACCTTAGAGGAGGCACGCTTCTTGGTTCGGTGCTGATGAGGACAATGTCCACCACCACAATCAACTCCAAGTCCAGGTGTCCTCTATAAGAAGAGAAGGTCATTCAGGACTCAAAAGTTTCTCTTCAATCTGCACCAATTACCCTTATTGATATAGAGAACCGGTTGAAACTGAGCTAGATATTTGACCTTTGACTTTAAGCTTTTAGTACCATTATATTTCAAGAGTATGTTAACATTTCTTCTTTGCTGTTAACAAAGAGCAAGAGCCAGAGTTCCTAAACCACAGCCCTCTGAAATGAGCTCCAGTCTGATTTCATACCTTCAACTTTGTTTTCTAAAAGACCCCTACCATTTCCAGGGCTTTAAATCTGCTTTACAACAAGCAGATTTATCAGAGAGCGAAGTTTTTGGGGTTTTTTCTAGGTTCTGATGTGTCATTCCTGCAACACCAGCTTTGGGAGATTCCTCTTTAACACAACCTGGCAAACAGGAGATCGGCCCCAAGTAGTCAAGGATGAGGTCCTAATCCAGAATGACCCAGGCAATAAATGCTCTGTACTAAGGTTCCATGTGCACACTTTCAGCTGTCTGTGCTTCCATGGCAGCCCATGATGAAACTCACCCACTGTGAGCGACCAGGCCGCTCTGCAGCCACCAAGGCACCGAGCTGGTGCTGGCTCCTGGGAGTGAGCGGTGGGTGTGGGCAGTGCACACGGATGACATTCTCCAGCGATGCTCTGAATTCCTCCACCTGAAACAAAAGGAATTTATGTCTCTGAGGCACTGAATCCAAAACCAGTGATGTCTGTCCCTTTATGTCTCTTTCACTGGACAGCTGTGACAATCAGCTGGTTAAGGAAGGAAAGGAAATCATGGGAGAATGTGAGGGACAAGCAAAAAGACTTGTCCCCACCTCTGATTTGTTTCCCTGCAGCTCTCTCCAGCTGCTGATCTGCCAGATTCAATTCATGTCTGTTTCTGTGTATCTCACAATTCTTGGTTTGTTTGAAGATCTCTTTTTTTTTTAAAAAGAAGGTTTCTTTTATTTTTTAAGTGCACCTGCCACTTCCCTGCTGTGACTGCAGTCTCTCCCCATCTTCTCATCAGCCCAAAGCTGGGATGGCTGCCCCACTGGAAACAGACAGCTCTGTCTCTCACCCTCCCTTGCTCAGCCATCTGCCTTTCTCCTTTCAGACGAGCCACTCGGATCAATTAACTGAATAGATGAGGTGAGAATTAAATTACACCACTGGCTCCAGCCAGGCTCCTGCATCCCAGCATGGCAGCACAGCACACACAGATCAGCTCTCAGGTAGCAGCTCTCAGGTATCTGCAGGTGTCTAACTGAAGGAAGCTGTTCTGGTTTAGGTTCCAAAATTATCCAAGCCCTTGATAGGATGCCAGGATCTCTGTTTCCATGGGGTCACTTCCTACCACAGGAGTTCCATTAGTAAACAACACCTTTTCAAATTCCATAGTGATTAGTGTCTTTCAGGAAAATCTCCTCTCTTTACCCCATGACTACCTTATAAGTGATTTATTTACAATTTAACAGATCTGACAATGTTTACCAGCTGCTCAATGAAGCAGCCACCTTCTCAAGGCTTCTCAATGCATTCAAGTTCCTAATACAGAAATAAAATGCTGAGCATGCTTCTGCCAAAATGAAGATGACTTTTCCTATATGAATTCAGGTGATTGCATTGGGAGAAGAACCATTGACTTCTATGGGATTTCCATGATCCTAACTACAGAATCAAGTTCAACCTACATGATACCTATATGAAGACTCCTAAAACCTCTTTCATTTTTCACATGCCAGTGCTGACCAAATCCTATGGAGAGGCAAACAACCAAACACGTGAGCTCAGTGCTCATCAGCAGTCAAAAGCAGAGGTCTAGAATTACTGGGAGGAGAATGTATCTTGAATTATTCATTCTGTTATGGTTCCCCATTTCAAAACAGAAATAGTAAAATGAGAAAAGGTAAAAAAACCAGCAACAGTAATGAGAAGCCTGGAATGGCTCAGGTAAGAAAAATTCAGACTGAGGACCTTCAGCTTGGAAAACTGAGAAAGAATATGAAGAACGTATGTAAAACCACAGATGCCATGCAAAAAGAGAACATTTAATAACTTTTGTCATACTGAGAACAGTGGGGCATGGAACAGACATATCAGACACCAGATACATTTATTACTATGCAGAAATGCAAGGAGGTACCATTTCATGCAATTCATGATTAAACCACCCAACCAAGAACACTGCAGAAGTAGAAGAATAACTAGACTCAGAAGGAATTAAATGGATAAATGGAAGCTCCTGAACTTCTGGACAATGGACAAAGGAGATGTAACTGGGACAGGATCATCCTCTACTTGCCTGTTTTGTGTACTTTTCCATGTCAGAGACAGAGCACTTGTCTCAATGAATCACTGGTCAGGCTCATGGTTATTCCTCAACACAGACAAAACTGCCAGGTCACATCAACACCCAGCAGTGCTCAGGCCTCACCTTGATTGGCTGCATCCTCTCTTTCCTCACAGAACATTCAAGACTCCTTTTTGTCTCCAGCTGATGATGACGCTACCAATATAAAAGAAAGAGAAATCCCATTTCTGGGCATTATGAGATGTCAATGTGTGCAAGAACTCTTGGTTCTGTCCTGCTTGTCCCATGCCTTCTCCCTGGCCACTACCCTTATTGAGCCCTGTAATAAAACTACTGTGGATTGACTCTATTTGCATTTCACCTGCATATATTCACACAGCCAAGGGAACAACTGAGCACTGGTAAAGTTGTTGGGACGAACTCCATTCCTGATATCCCACAGAAACATGCCCAAATTTTGTACTCAGGCAAGATATATAAACATGTTCAAACTGGTTTGTTTTTATCAGGATTTTTTAAAGCAAATTAGCCCTGTAAATATTATCTCATAATCTGATAAGGAAGCCAGGACAGTGCCTGCTCTCACAATAGCATGGTTTGACAATGAGAGGCCCATGGAGGTTTCATGTGGAGAACATCAAAACTGTCCTTTTTCCCAGCAGAAAGGAGCCTTCCAGGGGAGGCTCATAAGGAAATCAGTCCAGTACAAGTTAGCAGCCCCTGGCTGTCAGCGAGGAAACACCTGAGAAGGCTCACACATCCCCAGCAAGGGCATACCTCCATGTCAAGGACCTTCTGAAATATGGCATCAGCCAAGCACTCCTGGACATCTCTCTGGTGATCCCTCCTCATGGCATTGAGACGGTATTCTTTCTCAGGTATTATTCGTCCACTCCTTGAGATCTGCCATACATAAATATAATGTTACTGAGAAGAAGAAGATGAAATTAAATATGTTTTGAAACAGTGCAATTTCCCAGAAGATCACTTCCTCCTCCTGGTTAGTTTCCACCTCTGCCCCTGCCATGGTGCTGGAGCTCACCTTCCAGCACTGTATTATCTTTGAACCCATGAGCTCCACCAGCCAAACGGAAGGAGCAGCAGCCACATTTCTAATCACCATGGGCTCAGCCTTACTCTTCACAGGCCACTGCCCAAAGGGATGGAAAGGATTAAACACTTGCCTCCCTCCTGCACCTGCCTGTGCAAAAGAGAGTCACACCCAGGAGTCTTTAACACACCTTTAACCAGTGTTTTTAACAAAATGTTCAGCATATTCACCTTTACCAAATCCTTCAGTTTTCCATTAAACACTTCTGAAAAATGACACTGAAGCTGTTTAAACAAGTCAAAGATGCTTACATTTCACAGTGTAAAAAACCCTGAGTGAATCAATATGATGCTGTATATTTTTTTGCTGTATATTTGCAAACTGAAACACTTTGAAGAGGGAAACTCCAATAAGCAAAAGGAAAAATGGAAAATAAAGCATAAAAACATTCTGAATTGAATGTAGAACGGAGGGAAACTTTTCAGTCTTACCAGTCCTGCCTTCCGAAGATGTCGTCTTATCCTGGCATTGCTGAAATATCCGACTAGGTGTTTGTCTGTAAGACTGTTATAGGTTGCAAGAAATCTGCAATAAAATAAATGGAGATGTTTATAATCCCCTTGACCAATAAATTGCTACAGTTTAAGTTAAACAGAGCTACCCAACTGTTTGCTACACAAAATGCTGCCTTAGTAAATCATCCTGGATTTGGTCAGGTAAATGCCATGAGATTGTGTAAAGGTGGTATCTTGTGGCCTCCTGGAAATTCCTATCAGAAACAAGTGACTTGTACCCAAGGCCAGGAGCTGAGTGTGGGCCAGCGCTGCCACCACCATGGAATGGGAGCAAGAGGCCAGCCCTGACAGCCTCCTCCAGCAGCAGCTGCCAGAGCAGCTCCTGGGTGACAAACCCTGACCATGGGCAGGACAGGGGTGTGCCTGGGGCTGGATTCCAGCTGCACAGACACAGCTCCCCAGCCACTCTGCCAGGGGCCCTGCTGGTGGCAGGGACACCTTCCACCATCTCAAGATGCTCCAAGCCCCATCCAGCCTGACCTCACACACTGCCAGGGATGGGGCAGCCACAGCTTCTCTGGGCAGCTTGTGCCAGGTTCTCATTACAATCATCACAGTCACCAAAGATCAGAGCTTCAAAAAACTGAATCTCAGATGTGAAAGCTGAACACAAAAACTGAAGCATCCATAACTAGCAGTTACATTTTTAAACTATTCTTAGAACAACCATATCTTATTTCACCCTCTGAAAAACAGGGCAAATAGAGAAGTCAGTGACACTAGGATGCAGTTTTCAATATTCTAAATCTTTTCACATTTGTACAGTTTACACACTCAGGTACATGTTCAGCCTGACCTCTGGGCTCTCCTAAGAGACTGATCTCTTTTGTTTTCTTTGGCTGTAGATTTAAATGCACTGTGCCTCTATTACATCCCTTTCAGATGGATAATTCAGTTATATGTCCATCGCTAGGCTGATCTGCCACACACAAAAGCATATTCAAGGAAAGGACAGATTATTTAAAGAGATCATGGGTTTACAGGAATTTTATGAAGGGTTTCACAATAACCTCAAAGGTAGCTGCCAACAATAAATTCAACCTTGAACAAACAATGTAGGTTACCCTTTTATGCCTGCTGGTTAAACACTGGTATGATAGCAACTGTTCTGTGTTACTTTTTTAATCCAGAGTTTGCATTTGAAACCACCAGATTCCACCAATTTTCCTGAGTATTCATTTATGGTATCATCTGGCAACTGCATGTTGAGGCAGAGGAGAAACTCAATCCAGCTCCCTTTCATTCACTTCCTTCCATCTAAGATATCCTGAACCATATAACTCGTTAAAATGCAGTTCCCACCTGAACACAGTGATGTGGCAATTTCTGTTTCACCAGAGTCTCAGAACATATACTTCCTCGTTTCAATTATGAACAGGCTGGCCCTCAAAAATGTTGAATAAAATTCAAAGTTCAAAAAGGTATAAGAGGAAATAAGGAAATGTGTTGGTCCTGAACCAAAACCCATTAAATCACTGGCAAGAATGCAAGCGGGCCCACCGGGGTCTGGCTGCACCACGCTGGCCAGGACGGCCAGGAACACTCCAGCAAAGCAACCATGGTCCCATTTAGTCTGCTTTGGCATCAGCTAAAGGATAAGAGTTCTTGCCTGAGAAGTTTTGTTCAAGATTCAACTATGTAAGAACTACACACAAAGGTCACCTTTAAAACCTCTGCAACAGGTTGCAGAGAATTGCAGAAATGATAAAATCCACGTTAGGAAAAAACACAGCAAAGGGAAAGCACCAGCCTCAGACAGCTCTATACAGCTTGTGTGTCACAGCAGTCACATCCCTTCTCTGGGTATTCAGGGGACTCCTTTTTCTCTGCCTGTTTTTCCTGGTCATTCTTCTCTCTAAAAATGCTGGGGTTTTATTAGAATAGCAGACAATTTTCCTGGCACAGAACCTAAACTGACTGATCTGTAGATTCCTGGAGTACGTCTGAAGCTCTTCTCAAGATGAGTGTCATGTTTGTTTCTCTGGCATCGCAGCCAGTGACAACATGTCACTCTCAGGTCAGTAATTTTATATTTGAGGTTATTTAGAAATCTATGATGCTATGATCATTGACACTATTATTAACAGTGTATTTGTTCTCAGCTGGCAGCTACCCAAAAAGCACTACACTCAGAGCCAGAGTTGTGTACCATGGTAAATTTTAAGACCACTCTCACTCATTTGGAAGGATATCAAGACAAAGACACAGCAGGCATCCTATGGTTCTCTAAACCTTTGCAGTTAATTTTTCACAGTGCAATTAAATCGGCGGTCACCAAATAACAATGTGAGAGAGACCAAGGCTTCGGTTATGAATTGGCAGAGTCACAGGGGATGACGGTGCCTGTGCTCTACCTGGCACCTGTGTGCCATTGCCCCCCTCCCCCAGAGGAAGCCTTAAGCCTCACAACGAGACACCGAGACCCGAAGGACTGTTCTGCTACTGATCTCTTGTGTGGCCCAGGAGCGAGTTCTACCACTGCTTCCTTACTCGGAGCATTGCCCACCAACCCAGGATGTGCCAAATTTTGTCCTAGAGACCTGCAGAGACTCTCTGCTCTTCACTCTTCGTCTGTGACATCAGCACAGGGCAGTCTGTGCTGCGCTCACAGCCCGCAGCTCCGAGGGCAGGTAACCAGGGAAGGCCCTGCGGCCCGTTCCCCGCGCTGCATCACCCGCCGCGCCCGAACGGGAGAGCTCGGGGAGCCGGGCAGGTTCCCCGGGGTGTCCCGGGGCAGGTGCGGCCCCCGCAGCCCCCTCTGT